TTCTATTGAAAATCTATATCCTTATGAATTTTATTTAGCATAGTATTTTCCCCTGTCCCAGTGTTCAGTTCATTTAACATCTAATTATTCTTTCCATGGTGCCTTGTATTCTACCTATACAAGAATTAATAATGTTAAGGTTGCCAATAATGTATACTAAAGGCAATTTGTATATATTTGAATTTTATCCAAGGGAAACTCAAAGCTGGAAAAAAATAACTGAGTTGTTTCTGGAGTCATATTGAAAGGAATAAGAAACTTGCACGAACTTGGTTTAGGAAGCAGAAATATTGATCAGATGCTTTTTTGTTTTTCCTTTTTTTGTTTGTCGGTTTCACTTGAAACACTTCATGGTAGAAGAGAGGGAGAATTGTGGGTAAAAGTTTTAAATTTAAAATTCCTTGGAATTAGTAAGACTGCACTAAATAATAATTCATAGAAAAGAAATGCCAGTATAAAATGAACATTAGATTTACTGATTATTTTTTTTTCCTTTTAGTGCCTAATGGAAACATGTGGGTGCATATTGAAAAACAGCCATCACACAGAATGAATAGAGGAGAGAAATGTAAGAAGAAATTCCTCCCTAAATTAATAAAAAGAATATTTTTCATGGTGACAAATTTTAGCCACAACTTATCCAGTATCCAATTCGCTAATTTATTTCTAGATGATTATGTGTGAATATTTCATTTCCCTCTTCTGTGTTTAAAAATGATATCCTGTTTAAAAAACTGGCAGATGAGCCAAATTTATTTTCACTGCACTCTGTATCCTGTTTCTCTTGACCTCCCTTCCAAATCCCTTTCAATTTTCTTCTTCCCACCATCTGAGGTGTTCAGTACTTTTATCATCTTCTAATTTATCCTGCCAAGTGAAGAGTAATTTGATAAATTTCTTTATATAAAGGTATTAGGCAATTAATTTTCTACAGGTCTCATGAATATTTGCATTTTAAAGGAAAACTGCAGAGAAAGAACACTGTCTGACCATCATAAAATAGTCATTAATTATGAAATTGTAGGCAACTGTGGAAAAATATTTAAAAGTAATAAGGGAACTAGAATACTGTCAAATCATACAATGCAGGCAATGAGCTTATATCCTGCATGTCACAGAAAATATCTAATAATGTATTAGTACATATATGTCTTACTAATATTTATTAAATAAACAAGTGATCATACTGTTTGTTTTCAATCCAGCAAAAAATGTAAAGAACCATTTCCTTTGACAAAATTAGAGTAAAAGCAGTACTTTAGACCACTTTGCTGTGATACTGAAGCAGAAAAACTGTATCAATAAATTATTTAATTTATTCTTGGATATTTCTCTGTCCCCTTTCCAGGTAGGCAAGACTATGTGAATAGTAATGACCAATGAAATGGGAGCAGAAATGATATGTAGCACTTCTACCTTGAGGCAGTAAAAAGTTCATACATGATTTTGCAAATTCTATTTTCACTGACTAAGGAAACTGAGAGTTCTAGACATTAAATATGAAGATGGTGAGCTGTCCAAAAGCCATTGACATTTCGGGGTTATTTGAAGCTTCCCCAGAGCCTAGCTGATCTAAAGCAATAAGGTAATATAACTAATATATTCCTATTATGAAAGTGCCATATTGCCTTGTAGTTGCTTTCTTATGTATCTGGTATCCCAGCTTAACTATTCACTCAATATTCATTTTTGTAACTTTGCTATCAAACCACACATAGTGAAACCATAATATGAGAGTGTCTTTACACTGAAAATTAGACTATAGATTTAAAATAATTACAAGTGATGATGCATTAAATATAATTTAATTTAGTGCATCTATTTAGAAGTAAAACTATACTATGTTGTGTGCTTTTGTTAATGCAGTAATGGATCAGTAATAATAAGAATTGTATTATTAATGATTATAAACAAGAAGATATAAAGATTGCTAAGAATACTTTTAATTACTTAAGTAAATACACTAACTAAAGACTATATGGTAATTTATTTGGGTTTAAAAATATCAAGAAATGACATGGTAAATGTCTAGAGATCTGGTGTAAGGAATATATGAAAGAAAGAATAATACTCATCTGCTAAATTGCCAGATTATAAAATGTGAAAACAATGTATATTAAAAGTAATAGAGCTGAGGATTTAGCTCAGTGGTTCAGCCTCCTGCCTTGCAAGCACAAGGTCCCGAGTTCAATCCCCGTACCAAAAAAAAAAGTAACATTGTCAAAAATGATTGTTTTAGAAAGGATTACATTTCTTCCATTCTTGGTCCCAAAATAGCCTCATGAGTTGGACAGTTCTGAGATAACAGTTATAGTTTGCTGGTTCTTTATGCCTGGAAATTAATGGTTCAATCTTAATAACCAATATGGTTAATAACCATATCATCATGGTATATCTACAAAGTACAAGCCTATACTATAAGACAGATACCCATTCATAATTATGTTTCTAAGCATTTTCTATTTCCCACAAAATAATTAGAATTATTATTTATTTAATTGTGGTCAAATATATCACATGATATTAAGTAGAAAGCCCCATTTCCTCCTTCAAAAAATAAAAGAAGAAAAAGAAGGAAGGAAAGAAGGCAGAAAGGAAGGTAGAAAGGAAGGGAAGAAGAAAAGAAAGAAGAAGAAAAGAAGGGAGAAAGCAGGGCCTGGGATTTAGCTCAGTGGTTTCGCCGCCTGCTGTGCAAACACAAGTACCCGAGTTCGATCCCCGTTACCAAAAAAAAGAAGGAAGAAAGGGATTCTTTTTGTGAATAAGAGACCAGACATTTTATGGGAACTCCAGTTAATCATACAAGAACATGATCATTAATTTAGCTGGACAGTTCACTTCACATTTCAGATATTTCCCTTCTCCATTTTTATTCACTAATATTACACTAAATTCAGCTCAGCATTAGCTGCTAATTTTATTCAAGTAAAATGTAATTGATTCAAGAGAGTAAACAGACCCAATTTCAATCCTGTGATGACTAGAGTATTGTTTCAGCTCATCTACAGATTTTTTGATAAAAAGCTAACTTAGTCCATAATTCTCACTTCGTATATAAGGGTAGCAAGTAGTGTAAGACCATATATAAATATTTTAAGATGGTCACAGTTACGGATAATTCTTTTCCCAATTAAATGAATGTGTGTTGTTTTGACACCATTTCAAATGGGCTTCTCCCTATTTTTTCTTATATTTTAAGACATATCATTAGTGGGCCGGGGATTTAGTTCAATGGTTCCGGTGCCTGCCTCGCAAGCGTAAAGTCCCGAGTTTGATCCATATATGTATCATTAGAAATGCCAGAAAATTTATTAGCAAATTCTCTTTAGGTTTCAAAATCCATAGTTTCCAAGTTGGCAACTTCTATACACATCCATTTTCCAAGTACTTCAGCCCCTTGCCTCTTTAAATCAATAAACCATATTGACAAAATTTTAATTATTCCCTGAATGTGCACACCTGTTTCGATTTTCCTCATTTTCCTATAACAAACAAATTAACCAATTGGTTTCCTAGTTTACTTTGCTCTATTCTCTTTGAACTTCAACTTTCTCCTCAAGACAGACTGGGCTTGTAAGTACTGATTCATTTGCAAACAAAATTTTTAAGCAAGGAAAGAGGGCTGAAAAGAGGGCAGGGGAATGGGGAAAAAATAAGAATCAAAATATATCATTAAAGGTAGAAATTCCCAGTGATGAATGCCATCATATTGTATACTTAAAATGTACTAATAAACTTAATGAAAAAATAAATAAAATATTCATCTGTTAGTAATTTTTCAGAGATTAAAAAGGTATAAAATTGTCTTGCAAAAAGATTTCTTATTTTAAGTAGACTCACCAATATTACATTGAAACAGGTATTTCATAATTATAGTCATGCACTAAAAGTACAGCAAGCATTTAGGTTTGGTCCAAACATGTGCAATTGTCAGTGTTTCTTCTTGAGAACAATAAAGCCACCATTGGTTTCAAACCACAGTGTTGATCTAGTTCACCTGCCTAAAGTTGAATTTTTTTGTGTGTGTGTGTGCAGGGGATCAAACTCAGGACCTTGTGCTTGCGAGGCAGGCGGCAGAACCACTAAACTAAATCCTTGGTCCTAAGGTTGAGTGTTTTAACTATCTTCATACTGCACAATTTCAATAAAGTTACAATCTGTATGCGAAAAGATAGGAAGGAAGGAAAGAAAAAAGTCAATAAATTCTAGCCAGATTTTGTACTTTACTACTGGATATTTACAATCTATTATTGTATAGTTTTATTTTCCTGCTGTAAGAAAGTTAGAGCACATTGTAAAAGAAAAGCAGGTGGATAAATAACTCAAAATCCAGCCAAAAGAGAATTCTTTTCATGTCAGCCTAGTGTTAAGGATACAGATTAGATCCATATTTTCTGAATTATCTATCTAAACTGATAAAATTTAGAAGGGATGTAACATTCAGTTACAGAACATTCTTTTTGGAAGATTAAAGCAAATCTAAATGCTAATAGCTTTAGGCAAAAACAGAGTAAGTTTCTGCAAATGAGCAATTTCTGAAGCCAGTTATTTATACGTGTGATATACACATATACATGTTGATAAGGATTAAACTGAGCTAAAAAAAACACTCCTAAACATACTATAATATCTAATAAAGGAACAACATTATAACACAGTACTTATTAGTTTCCTTCTTTAATTATGTTACCCATTGCTATCACCTTTACTTTCTTCAAAAGAAAGCAAATAAAAAAGTGGAGGGAAGAAAGTAGATGAGACGACTCCAGTTTGAGTATTTTATAGTTTCAAATCCAAAAAATCATGAAAAATTTAGCAAATATTTAGAACATAACAGATATTAGAATCGTGACAACAAAATAGGTTATATAACATACAAAGATCCTTAAACTTAATTCTCAGATTTTTGGAATTGGTTTCCTACCTCTTTTTAGACAAGGTTGACTTCCAAAACATAAGGATGAAAAACAGTAAGAAATACAAAATATAAAAGTACTTACAACTGATCGGAGGTTATTTTCCTTCACTAGCTTCAGAGATGATTTATAGCAATTTGCAAGGTCCTCCTTGTGGGAACCATTAATATGGCCTCTGGCTATTGGCCCTACAGTATGGATGACATCTATAAATGCAAAAAGAAGAAAAAATAGGATAAGAAAGGCATTTTCACTTTTCACATAATTGGTGCTTTATTTATTTTAAGTATTTGTGTTGGAGCCTGGGGAAAGGCAAGCTAAGAAATACTGATGATTCAAATGCTTCTTTGGTAAAAGATTTCAGAAAACCCAACCTCTTAAAGCAGGCGGTTTCCCAGGAGGAGTTCCCTACCAGTGAATCGGTTCATCACTACTGGTCAGAACCAAGTGAGACAGATTATAGAATAAGATATGTATAACTGGCATCCTGTTAAAAGAGAAATCATTGGTGGGAAATAAACTGAGAAATAATTGCCTGAAAAATGAGCATCTGAATTGACATGGGAAGCAACAGCCAATGCAAGACACAACTTTTCTTGTAAATAAGACAGATTCAGGCATTGTACATAACAAAGAAAAAGTTTCTGAAAAATGTCAAGAGAATCTATAATAATCATAATAATCCTAACAGAATCATTTGAAAATATTCCTAGTAATTTTAAAGTGCAACCTATCAATCCTCACATATATGAAGTATGTTAGGAACAACAGTGCATATGTATTTTAATAGGTTGCTAATCATATTTTAAAGTAATACAATGTTCACAAAGTAATCTATACTTTTTAAACTGTACTTAGGTTTAAAAAGCCAAATTTTTTCTTTTGTATTAAAAAACTCAAGTATTTTGCTAGTTTTTAAATCTCTATACATACATAAATTTTTATTGGCAGGGTGCTGAGGATTGAACCTAGAGCCCAATACATACTAGACATAAGAAACAAAATTTTACTTCAAACTACTTAAAATGCCTTGTGACACTTTCCAATTTTTGTGTTAGGCAATTAGGTCATTTCATTGATGTATGTCACAACAACTCATCAACTTTGACCCAAAGCCTAAATTTTGGAAGCCAAGAGTGGGGGCACATGCCTGTAATCCCAGCTACTGAGGAGGCTGAGGTAGGAGGATTGCAAACTTGAAGTCAGCCTGGACAATTTAGGGAGAACGTGTCTCCAAAAGGGTGTGTGTGTGGGGGGGGTGCTGCGGATGTAATTCAATGGTACAGCACTTGCTTACAATATGGGAGACCTTGGGTTTAATCCCCAGTACCACAAAACAAACAAAACTATTTCCAAATGAGGCCACATTCTGAGGTGGTAAGGGTAAGAACATCAAAAACAAAAATAAAAACAATTCAGTCTATATTACTGTAATATTATAGTAAAATGAAATCATTTGTTCTAATTAGTACCACTTGATTTTAACAAGGACAAGAATAAGAGTACATGACAAAAATAAGAATATGATACATTTTAAACCTGCACATGAAATTTGAAAAGCAATGCATTAGTCACTAAAGGAAAAAAAACTCTTGTTGGTTGCCTGCAAAATGTTGAGACTATTATTTGGTATCTGAGAAAAACTGCAAAGTATTGGCTTCAAAAATTACTTATAAAACAATATTTAAACTTTTGCCAGACAATAACTGAATATGATGTCATGTGATCAAAGCAGACAGACAAACTGTACTACTGAATTAATAGAGATGTTATTTCACAGGGGAGCCTGGTTCCCATCATAGTTACAAGTGCTATAGTGTAGACGTGGGGGATGAAGGGGAATTAGGTTGTACTTGGGAAAATAAAGCACAAGGTGATAACATTTTTTTGTAATAAAAGTACAAGAGTTGCATATTTTCAAGCAATAACAGCCCTCTACTCTATGTAATGAATTATCACATGAATGTGCTATGTTAGTTTCTATTTCTTAAATATATGCTAGAGTAGAGAAGGAAGAGAGATTGTTCTTAGATTTCCTTTATTTTACTCCTTGGGGCTACTTGTTTGTATCACACTATGTGTATTCTAAATCCTCCATTGAACACAGATGAGGGAATAGGGGAGATAAACAATGTAGAACTCTATAAGGTAGTATTTCCCAAAGCTGGTGCAGCAAGTTATAAGTTTAAAAGTCAATTGCATTTGGGAATCACTGAAAGAAATTAAGTCAAATCACTTACCATAGTGGGACTTCTCTGGGTTTTTATTATACCCTAATGAGTTGTGAATCTTCAGGGGAGGCATATAGAATGCTCTGTTTCCCAAATACATTTGACTATTGAAACCTGTGTTTTGCACAGTACCTCATAGGACCGAGTTTCCACAAGTTAACTTTAGGTCAATCTTGTTCCAGGGCTAGCCTCACTGTCATTGTCACAGCTGAAACTGAAGTCTATGGGGCTTTTCTTCCTTCCCCATCACCTCTGTATATTAAACACCATATATATATATATATATATATATATATATATATATATATATATACACACATACATATACATGTATATATATATATATCACTTGCCCATTTTGTGGATGGAAAAGTGTCTCTTATGTGGGGTCCTAAATGATGTGTCTACTTAATCCAAGTAAAGAAAAGGCTTGGAGGCAGTAATAGGAAGGAAGGCTGTGGAGAAGAGCCTGTAAGAACCTGTACTGATATAATAAAAACCTTTCCCTTTGCTTTTACTTAGCCATCATGATCTACATAACTTAAACAGAACTTATAAAAACATTTTTCCTTTGATTTCTTCATTTCTCCATTTTATTTAAAGGTCTAAGGACAAACAGCCAATAAATGAGCCTCCTCAACATCAAAATATTGATCTCTGTATTTTATGTGGTATATTAAATTTACAGCATCTGAGATCAAGCGTTATTATCGACCAACATGATGACCTCTCAGATCCACAAAGCTAGAGGTGAATCAATATGAGGCTTGAAAGGAAATTTCTTTCATTATTTTAATTGTTTGTAATACTTGTGAATCCACACCAAATTCCTCATTTCTGTTATAAAATTCAGTCAAGAGGCTTGGCTTCTCTTTCTGGCTCTAGGCTCCAGCTCTGAATCATCAAGGGGCCAGGTAAAGCCATGATTTAAATGGCCCTGACTTGGTTTCCTCATTTGTAAAACAAATCAGATCCTCGGATGATCCTGTCATAACTTCTGTGTTGTGTGCAGTCACTAATATTTAATCTTACAATGGAGATAGTTGATGGAGTACAGAATATCTAGGCAGTTATAGAAGATCTTGTACATGAGTAAGTGGCTCAAAAGTTTTGGTTTATAAGGATTCTTTTTAATATCCAAAATATCATTTACTAATCTTCCATAGTACTAGTTTCAAAATCCATCAATTGTGTACATTTGGACATTCAGCTATTTTAATTTCAATGATGCTTTGTATTAACTGGCATTCCACTAAAATAGGATTGTTATAGTGGAAATACATACGTAAGATATATATATATATCAAATACATATACACACATACTCATACTTGGCTATTATCTTTATATATATCTTTATAGTGGAAAGATATATATACACACACACACACACACACACACATATATACACACACACACATATATATGAGTACATATATACTTGGCATCTATCTATCTGGTATGATTCAGATCCAAAATATCCCCCAGAATTCTCACATGTGTGGAAGGTGATTGGATAATGGGGACACTACACTCATCAGTGGATTCATCCACTAATGAGATCAGTAGCTGAATGTGCTGTTCGGAAGTGAGACTGGGTTGGAAGTGGGTCACTGGGAGTGTGATCTAGAAGGTCCTAGTCTTTCCTAGCTCCTCCCTTCTCTCTCTCCTTCCTGGCTGCCATGGGTTGTGCAACTTTTCCTCTGCCATGCCCCTCTGCCATACTCTCTCTGCCTTGGAAACAGCCAACCATGAACTGAAATCATAGGCCAACATAAGCCTCTTTTCATTTAAATTGTGGGTGTTGGGTATTATGTCCATTGACAGGAAACTGACTAAGAGATTTTGGTGCCAGAGAACTGGAGTCATCGTTGTGAACATGTGGTTCAGAAGCCTTTGGAACTGGTTTGTGAGAGGAGTTTGGAAAGAGTTAGAGATGCTAGCTGGACAAGCCCTAGAATGCTATAAGCCAACCTTGATAGGTGATTCTGGTCACAGTTCAGAATCTTGAAAGAAATACAGACTGTAAACATCAGTCTCAAGACGTTTCAGTTGGGAACAAGGACTCTATTGACAGTTGGGGACTACAAGCCATGTGCATTACACTCTGGCATAAAATTTGTCTACATTTTCCCCATGTCTTGAGACTTTGTGGAGACTGAGATTAAGGGTGGCTGATTAATTAATCAGTCAAGAGGAATTTCAAAGCACACCAAAGTTCAGGCTATGATATAAGTGCTACTGGCTGCATTTAGTCAGCTCTACAGTGAGAATCAAGAGCAAAAGGTAAAGTTCAATGTTGGAAAAGTCTAGAGCATAATACTCATCAGTGGATTCTGTAGCTCAATGTGCTATTAGGAGGTGGAGCCTGGATAGAGGTGCTTCACTGGGATGAGAGCTGGAAGGGTGTATTCTTTCCTTATCTCCTCCCCTCTCTCTGCTTTTTGGCTGCTATGCATTGAACACGTTTTCTTCTGTCATCCTGTTTCTGCCCTGGAGCTAATCGACCATGGATTGAAACTGTAAGTCAAAATATTGTATACTGCTCCTCCTTTAAATTGTGGGTATCATTATTGTGTTCAGTGATGGGATAGTGACTAAGATACTATCCTTAAAATTTTACTGTGACTTTAATATGAAAACTGGATCTTATATACCTTAAAGTAGTAATTTAATTTAAAAATGTACTTCAAAAGTATCTCAAGAGTCAAAGAATTTTGAATAATTGTCAAGAATTTTTAGCAATGGAAAGTATGACATAGACAATTTAAATCTACTCTTCTTGTTCAAAGAACACTGAATCAAAATAATGCACCAAAAGCCACAGACTAATGGGAAGACACAATATCACAATGACAGTATGATTATAAGTAACTTCTTCCAAGATGACTACTTATTGAAGGAAATATACTTGTGTATATAAATTTTAGTATGCTTCCTGTGAATCCCATTCTTTACCCTACTGTTCCAGTTGAGTGGGTCCAAAATAGTCCAGGTTCTTTGTGTTACAAGGAAAGAATTGCCAAGTGTATACCTCGTAGTATGTAGAAAGTAGCTAAGTTTATTGAAGATCATGGAACGGTCTCAGCAGGAATAGGCAGAAAGGCCAAGGAAAAATAGGAGGCTCAATAACTTGGCCTTCCAGTATTTAAAGGGTCAGATACCAGGATTCTAAATGCCCCCATCATCTCTCACTGGTGTCAGTAATCTGCCCCCTCAAGGCTAAAGACTTCCTAAGCTTAAACCAGGATAATAGTTAGGGTGGTGTTGTGTTTATGGTTGAATGGAAAGAAAGGGAGTGACTCACACAACTTCTCTGTTTAGTATTATGGAAGCATGGATAATTATTAGGGTGGTATGATGGAGAGAAGGGAGTAACTCATTCAGCTCTTTTGTTTCTAACTGTAGTACTAGTGTTTGTAAAAATTCAGATTCTGGCTGGGCATAGCTGTGCAACAAATTACTCTAAAACATAGTGGCTTAATACAACCATCACTATTTCACTTTTTCTTATAGTTTTTGTGAGTCAGAAATTCTGAAAGGGCTAAGTTAGAGGTTGGTTTAGGATCTCTCCTAGGGTTGAAGCCAGCAGTAGCTGTCAGTGGAGTAGGGGACTGCAGCAGTTAGGGCTTGATGGGCATCTTTCTCTCTGCAGAGTCTCAGGGACACTATGTGAGCTACTTTGGTTTTGTTCACAGCAGTACAGCCTCAGAGCAGTTTTACTTAAATGACAATTCAGGGTTTCCAAAAGCAAGTGTACCAGTAGTGTGGTTTTTTATAACTCAGCTTTGGGAGTCTGTGGGGTACCACTTGTGCAAATACTCAAAGCCCAGGCATTTGAGGGCATCTGAGGACACTTAAGGTTACACCTCTGCTCTCGGGACATGTGCATAATGGACCACAGTTACCTAAGAATGACTTAACGTACTCAACCACACATACCCCGCATGGACAAGGTCATGTAGCAGGTGTTCAGTCTCACCATCCCTCGGAGAACTGATATGACACTATAACTTCTGTGAACTAGAGAACACTGTAACCCTTTAGTAGCTGTGTTTGCTATATAACTGTCACTGCTGTGATGCTGAAGGAATAAAGATGCTCAGCTCTTGAGTTCTGGAGCTGCAGGTCCAGCTCTGCTCTGCTTTGATTTTGTCCTGATGCTGATGATTGTCTCTGTTCCTTGTTCTTATTGGGGAATTAATTCATTCATGAAGGACTATATGAACTAAACAGACCCGTCTTCAGGTGCCTCTTGGGGAGGCTCAGCCTTGGCCCTTACAGAGTCACTCAGAATCACTATCACTGTACTCTACTAATTGGAACTGTCACACACAAAAAATGCCCCACTTTTTATGTGGCAGGTCATAAACTCCACCTCTTGGTGGGAGAAAGCATTTATGGACATACAGTATTTTTAAATAGCCATAATATAAGATTTCCCAGACACTTGGGGCTTTTTTGATTACCATGTTTATCAAAGTCTGGTTGACAATAAATATGAAAACATAGGAAAAGACTGATATGATCAAATATATTACCAGTATGAAGTTCTCAGACTTATCATCATAATAAGTCAATGGTGACTTAATAAAAATCAGAGCTAGACAAGATTGGAATATGAGATTAATGTATTTATTCATTGTAAACAACAATCTAATATAGAGATTATGGTATAATTGTAGTTTCTAGTGATATAGAGGAAATAAATGTAACTCCCAACCTGCTGGATGTCAGACAAAAGAATGAATTCTAAGGAACAACAGAGGTTAAGAGTAGGAAATTTTATTGGGAAATAGGAATGAGGAATAGGAATAGGAATACGGAATAAGAATGGGAAATAAGGATAGTTTCTCCAAGATAGGAGAGGTCCCAAATGGGTTGTCAGCATACCCACTTTTCTGAGGAAATTTTATAGAGCAAAGTTAGGAGGGATGGGTACAACTTGTGTCAAATTATAATCAACCAATATAATTACAAATATAGCCACTTAGCTAATATTTGATCCAATAGTAGCAAGGGGATATGGATACATCAGTAACATTGGTTGATAATCTATAGTCTAGTTTTGTCTTTAGTCTTAATAGTCCTAGTCTTAGTAACCTTTGTCTTAGTAGGTGGGAGAGGATGGCCCACCCCTAATGAGAAGATGGTTTATTTATAGGGGAAATCTCAAAAGTTTGGTACCAATGATCTGAAGCTTTCTTAGGAAAGTAGTAAATCTGGCTTTTGTGACTTTAATTTTCTTCAGATGTGCCTCCAGCCAGTTTTGGATGTGTTCTCATCTTCTGTAATAACTCCTTTGAGGGCCTAGCCCTGTCTGACTACTTATAATATTTCTACATAATTTAGCTGTCTACAATACTAGATAGAATTGCCTGGCTCAGAACTAGTTGTGTTGCTTCTTTTGCCTTATAAGCTGGAAGAAAGTTGTGCGTAAAGGAAAGGTCAGGCATGGCTGTCACACAATCAGCACTGCAACTCCTTGAGAGTCATGAACATGATGCAATAGGAGCAAAATGGAAGGTAAGTAAACAGAAAGTGGAGAGAGGTCCAGATGGTTCCCCAAATTACCTATTTGTTATTACAAAAATATTGTTTCATTTACACTACTTGTGTAGAAAATAGCATATTTAGTTAGCTTATGAGTAAGGCAGCTAGCTAAGGGAAGGGCCTGAGATAAGAGTTGGGGGTTCACCCAGAATGATAAGAATTAAAATAAGAATGGACAGTGAACTAGGACTTTGGACAGGCAGCCTCAGGCAACCTGGAAGGCAGCCCACCCTCTACTAAAGGGAGGTGCAGCGATTCCTTATTAAGTTCCTGAGTGTCAAGGAAATTATAATGGAAATCAACCAATTTTTTTTTTTTCTCTAAAATTCTAGTTTCCTTTTAACCCTGTATGTTGAAGAACTGGGTTAGAAGCCTGAATTCCAATTGGTCATTTTAAATCCGCAGAGCAACTTGTGATCAGTAGCAACTAAACAACTGAGCAATTCAAATGTTCAGCTCTCATTAAGAGGCCATCCAGCCAACCACTTGGGGGACATCCATAGAAACTCAGGAGCTAGTCTCATTTCCAATGACACTCTCCTAACTTCCTCCTTTGGTTCATGACTTCATTCCTGGCGTTGTGAGACCATGAACTTGGCATATTTGACCCCTAACGGGTTGGGAGTTATAGTTTTCCTATATCACTGGTTTCTCTTAGTTCACTGAAAAGAAAGTTTTGTGCTGTTTGTGTCTTTGTAAGAGAGAATTATTTTTGTTGATGTATTGTACTCTGAATAACTACTTTGAACATAACAATGCATAGTATATTAACTACTGTTATTCTCATTATTTTGCTGTGAAATTTTGTTTCATTTTTTAATAAAATAAAAAAGTGATGCTACTTCCTCAAAATGACCACCTCCACGTTCAAGAAAGAAAAACAAACTTATTGCAGTGTAGCCCTTTCTTATTTTACTTAGCAAAGTTGAGAAAACAGAAATGCAATTTGTATATTTAATCAACATTTCAAATGTAACCCCTTGAAGAGGTATGGAAAATGAGATGAGGCCCTTTTGTGCTTCATTAGACTAAAGTGTGGCAAGACGAATGGAACCTGCTTTGCTCATCTATTTCTCAAATCAGTTGATAAATCAGCTCTTTTGTTTTGAAGCAATAACCACTACCTTGTGCTTCCTCACCCCTATTTATCCTGGGAAATTAGTCTGAGCTACATAGAAAAGGAGGTTAGAATAAGATTTCTTGAAGAAGGTGCAGGGAGGAGCCCACCTTCATTTTCAAAAATGTAAATTGAAAAATGTGTGATTGGAATGCCAAATAAATATTGAAAGCAGTAGAACTATTTACATAGATTCAATCAGAGTTATCCTCGGCAAAACAAATGCAGCAAAAACATTCTGTGAAAAAATATTAGCATAATGAATTTTAAAACAAATGATAGAGCACATATAGGTTGCGCTCATTGTATTCCATTTGAGAAGTGACTGTGCTACATTCAAACTGTTAATGAACAGTCAGACCAAGTGTAGAATCAATTACACATTGCTTTCATTCACTCCACTCCTGTATTCATAAGTATAATAGGTCCATCTAACAGACTGCATAACGATGTGGGGCACCCTGTCAATCATATTCAAATTCCATGAATTTTAAGGAGTAAAGCAATGCATGGAATTAAATTGAATTTCTTTTCAAGAGATACAACCACAAAAGCAAGCACTAAAGGCACTATTTGTAAATCTTATCGACCAATTTGTATGATAAGCACCACCAACCTATGACCTAAAAGAGAATACTTGAAGTTCAGTTAACAGGAATTGAATTATCACCTGATTGCATTACAAAATAAATGCTGTCTTTTCTTTTTAGGTCAATATTTTCATATACACATTTTCAAACCTTGTTGTTATTATATTTCAAGAAACAATCAATTGCCTATAAGATGTTTCTTTTCAATCTACAGCAAACATCACTTAAAATGTACTTCAACTATTTTCCTGTGGTGTGTTTTTAAGTTTGGATTATTCTCATACATTTCTTTACTTGCATGATGGATTTCTTCCTATATCCAGAAATACAATAGTCATCTCACTTTTTGCATGAGTTTGAAATAAAATAGCACAATGTTATTTTTGAATCCAGTTTCTTTTGGTTCTGTGAGTTGACTCTTTTTTGTTGTTGCTTTCTTACAAAAGGCTCTTGGTTTACCTCTCTCAACCTCCTTGATACTATAGATGTCTATGTCTAAGATTAAGCAAACAGCAACTAAACAAGAATTGCATTTTGCATCTGATAAAGCCACACAGAATGCACTGTCAAAGCTTGAATGCTAAACACCCAGCTCAATTTGAGGGTTGATTTTTGCAGGCAAATGTGAGAATGTTTCCATGTTTGGTGAATCATGTGCTGACAATATGTTTTATGTTTAATCGACTTCAAAACTGTGAAGTTTTAAGCTCAAGCTATAAAATATTATTTGATCAATTTCTACCAAGTGTTATATTCTGTATTTTAAAAAGGGGAGAGCCAAAGCTCATTAAAATTTTTTTTAAAATCAGCTTTCTCTCATTCCTGCCAAAGATTTATTTAAGATTGACCTTGTTCACAAAAATTGGCCTTGCTGAAGGGATTATATTATGTAAAACTGGACCCCTACACATAGTTATTTGTAGTAATACTGATTGAAATTTGTATAAAAGGGATATCCTATGGTCAACCACTTACAGAGTCTTTGAGATTCCACAGGGTATTGAAGGCATCTGCATCACAATAGTGTTATTTCCAACAGAGAGAGGTCTCAGAAGGACTGTGGGAAGCTGAATTCTCCACAAAATTCCAATATTTGGTGTCATTTTAGGATGAACTCAAAGAGAACACATTCTAGAAGGAAGTGAGTCAAATACATGGCATTTCTAATGCTTCAGGAACAAGGGTGAGAGGAAATGAAGGTTCAAATGGACAATGGGACTTTTTCAAGGAAAATGATAATAAGATCTTTGTTCTGGTTCGAGATGACAGCAAGTTAGCTTTTGAGAAAGATGCAAAACCAGTATTTTAGTATTGAAGGAGAAAATAAGCTTCAGAAATCCTATGTGGTGGGTAAAGATGAATGAATGTTAGTCCCCACTGCACAGGGAATTCCAAATGCAAAATCCAGGCTAGAACTGCAGTGTGCAGAGGCATCAGTGTTGGGACACACAGGCTAATGCTGAAGTTGTATGTGTTCATTTGTCATCAGCCTTCTTCATAGCACCATTGCCACCACAAGCCTGGGCAAGGAAGATTCTTCTGCAATCAGTCATTCAGTCATTAATTCTGCCTTTCATTCAATAAGCATTTATTGAGAATCATCTATGTGCCAGGTTAGCAAAGTTCCATTCATTCTCACCACATGTGTCATTTGCTTTTCTAATTCCAAGACTATTCTATCCACGGACACATATGCTCCCATTTTTTTCTCAGAAAAGGCTTCCTAGTCCCATATCCATGAGACCCAAGGAGAACTTAGCTTTCCTTGAGATGAATCCCACAATATGAACTAATTTTGAACTCATTTCTCCTCTTTCGTTTTCCAACATCACCTAGGTTTGATCATTATTGATACGACTTTTAACATTTCTGACATGGTGCCATCACTTTGAATTATCCAATAATATGACATTTTGCCTTAGAAAACAAGGCATTTCCTATCATTAGAGGCAGCCAAATGTGACTATATATACTCCAAGAGTCTGTCCCCTTCTGAGATGTTACAATTCTGTGATTCTTATCTTCCCGTAGTGACTCATGCTTCTGCTGCAGGGTACATGACAAATTTGTGTCTGTGTCTCCCACAAAGCCAAGAACTCTATGGGAACAGTTACTTGATGGATAATTAGAGAACTTGTGGGTCATTAAATAAATGTTGGTCCAATTATAATCAATCTAATCAGAGGTGATGTACTAGATTAGAGAAAACAATGAGGTAGAATGGATACTCTAGAATGGGCAAGCAACAGAATCTAGTTATACTGGTTCAGATCATTCAGCACCAACCTTTATAGAACTGAGAAGCTATTTCTCCACAGAAACACTCACCAAAACTTAATCAAATAGTTCCTGACAGCTGTACTGCAGATCATTGTTAAAAACAAAACAAAACAAAACAAAAAACAGATTCCAACACTATCATGCTCTTTAACAAAAGCTATGAGAATCTTTCCAAAGAATTCCCAACAGGAAAAAAGAAAAGAAAAGAAAAGAAAAGAAAGAAAGAAAAAGAAATGTGTGTGGTGACTCCTTTTCTTTCTTTCTTTCTTTCTTTCTTTTTTTTTTTTTTTGGTACCGGGGTTCGAACTCAGGTCCTTGTGCTTCCTCATGCTTGTGAGGCAGGCGGTGGAACCACTGAACTAAATCCCCAGCCCTGGTGACTCCTTTTCTTGTTTTGTAAGAGATAATTAAATAAGCACATTTTCTAAATGGGTCATTTCCTTCATCTGCATATGGCTCATTTTAGAATAAATCTGACTTGTTTTAGAAATTGGTTTTGCCTCTCAAATAACAAAATGGAGCAAGACAGGGTTTCTACATGTTTTCTCAACAAATTAATGGGACAACTATTCACTTTTATTTAAAAAGTGACATGTGGATAAAATGATAAAGTAGCATTTGGATAAACCACTCCATCAAAATAAACCAGACAATTTTTTTGTTCCATTCACTGGACAACTCTCAACTATACCTTTTCCATACATCTATACCTGAACTTTCATTTGGTTCCCTTTTAATGGTATATAGAACATATCAAGTCCTAGATCTCATTGTCTTAGGAAATGCTTGTATTTAGAGGACAAATGAAAAGGACAGAATACTTGAAGAATTAGATTGAATAGCTTCTAATATAAAGAATATATGGAAATTTCTAAACTGTGAAGTTGTGTTATTCATGAATTCAACTTTTACAAATTCAGCAACATGAATAAGACATGGGTGGGGTGAGAATGATAAAGTATTTAAATAATTATGGCAATTTCATTAAATTCTTTCACAATGGGTGTTTACAGCAGGAGCAAGAACAGATTGGCTTATATTGCTGGACTCCTGGAGATCAATCTACACTCCAAACTGCCTTTCAGAGATGATGAGCTCATTGTGCACTGAAGTTGTTTTCAAACTTTCCATTCACTCTTTGAGAACTGCTGCACTAGAACTTCTCACTGTGCAGAACTAATAGTTAAATATGAATATTTATTTTTCAAATGGAAAATGGACACCATTAACCACTTTACCTGATTCTTAAGTTTGAAGAAACAGTGAGCTTTTAACTCTGTAAGGAAAACCATATGTTGCAAATTTGTTTTAAAAAATGGTATTTCCTAGTTATTGTTAGTGGGAACTGTGATACTAAAATAATATTTTTTAAAATTTACATCCAGCTAGGCTGTCACTCATGATGGTTTTGTGGCAGCTGTTTCTAGGATTTGGGATCATATTAGAGATATTTAGGACTCATTACTCTGTGACTTCTGTAGAAAATCTAATATGCTGAATATCTGGCACTTAAAACCCTGCTTTATTTCCCTGCATCTGTGGTAGACCTCTGTTGTGGTTTAAGAAAATAAATTTAAGTTTTAAATTCTGTGGAGTTTTAAAAGAGAAATATGTTTCTCTAATTTCACATTTACATTGATTAAGAGATTTTTAAGAGTAATTTTATAACTGCAATGGTTATTTTATGCTCAATCTTGAGAATCTAGAGCAATTTTTCTTTCTTTCTTTCTTTTTTTTTTGGTACTGGGGATCGAACTCAGGACCATATGCTTGTGAGGCTGGTGGTGGAACCACTGAGCTAAATCCCTGGCCCTTTCTTTTTCTAAAAGATGGTGAACAGGAAATTTCTATTATCCAACATCCTGAGAATGAAGAAGCAATTCTTACACAGTTTTCAAGGACTCAGGGAAGAAAGTTTAAGATGACTGTTCTCACATCACTTGCTTCTACTGGAGAAGTAAAGGGTGAGAAAGGGTTTCTAAGCAAGAATTCTATAAGATATCATGAATGACAGCCAGCAATCTCCTTTGCAATTTTGAATTCCCAAAATATATCCTAACAATGGTTCAATTGCTTTATGCTTTCTTCTTTGCAGAGTGAATTGAAAGCTACTAAGGGAAAGGAGACCAGCCAATATTAAACTAGAGAATGAGGAAAGAAAAGAGAAGTAGATCATTCAAAAATCAGAAAAAGAAGCTGATGAACTTTGATGACAACTATAGGGTGAGTGGAAGAAGAGAAAGAGATGAGTCAAAATTGACTCCAAGGAACTTGACACTGGGCATGAGCAGACAATAGAATTAGGAATATAGAGTGTGATTGAAGTCTGGATTATTGTAATGTTTGTCAAATTCTGAGAACCTATCTTCAACATAAAAGTAAAATACAGACAGAGATCAAGCATAGAAAAGAGGTAAGATTAAGAAAGAGAGAAAAAAAAAAAAGAAAAGGTACCTCATTTTCCAGCATCAAGGCAGATTTTCTTTTTTAACTTTTCCCCTTTGACTATTTTGGTCCTGACAGAATCACTGAGGGGAACAGAATATATTACTGAGCCTTTCAAACATGATTCATTATAAGACTAAGATTCAGAGAGGTCAACATGTGCCTCTGCAAGATTATTTAATGGAAGCCATTAGCGTAAAACCACTCAAACAAAACCCAAAGACCTTTTCAAAGTAATTCAGATGCCAAGAATGAAATGTTTGCATGGAAGCTTTGCAAATTAAGTAATGAATATCAGGTTTTAAAAAGAAAGAACTACATGGAAATAAATAAATAACGTCTGGTGACTGGTTCTGTAGTAATACACTATTATGTGTAGGCCAATTAATAAAAATTCTCATTTTTATTTAGAAATGGGGCCGTGGTTGAGAAAAATATGGTAATATGCCTGGAGGGTATATGATGAAAGAAATTAGTTGAACCAGAGAATAGATAAATTTGTCATGTGTAGGAAAATAATTATATTATGGAAAAGGACCTAGGAATATAAAAAAAAAGATTCATCAGAATGTATAATTATAATTAGTATTATATCAAGGAATAGCAAAAAAACAAAAGTTCATATCCTAATGGTATAGCTCTATAACTAACTAGGTAAATTACTTTTCTTCAAGTGTAAAGACAGAATAATATCTACTAGTCAAGTTTGCTATGAGAAATAAATTAAAATTATATATGAAAGAACCAGACCTAGAATCTGGCATGTAAGAACTGATAAACACTGACTTGATTGATTTTCGTTACCACTTTTACATAATTGTATTTGCAATGCACTTCAATGACAGAGCAATAAGATCTTCTATATTTTATCAAAATTTTACCATTACATTCTTAAAATTGATGTCTGTACATATTTATCAATTATGTCAGAATTTACATTTTACTGCTTTCTTCTACCACTTCTTAGAGTGTTGGTCTTCTCTTTCTCAAACCCATTTTGTCACGGTTGTTTTTATATATCTTTGAATAATTTTTTCAGAAATTGTATGTGGCTCGAAATTTTCTGAACCACTAAAATTCCAAATGGCTTCAGTTTGTTCTCATTTCTTTTTTCTTTTCTTTTCTTTCTTTCTTTTTTCTCTTTCTTTTTTTTTTTTTTAGTGGTACTGGGGATCAAACTCAGGACCTTGCACTTGCCAGGCAGGTGCAGTGCCACTGAGCTACATCCCCAGCTGTTCTCATTTCTGGATGTAATTATTCTGACATATTGATTGCAGGTTCAAAATTATTTGTCTTAGAATTTTGAATATCTTGCTTCATTCATTTCTACCATGAGGAAAAAGACAACTTGATTTTTATATCTCCATGGGTAAGGTGGATTTTCATTTCCTCTCTGGAAGTTTTAAAAACTTGCTATTTATCCATGGAATAGTGAATTTTCAATGTGTCTTTATTTTTTCAGGACAGGAAAATTATTTTCTCTTTCCAATGGTTTGAGTATGGTTTGTCCTGCAGGGTTTATGTTCTGGAAGCATGGTCCCCATGGTGTCAGTGCTGGTGTGGAGAAACCTCTGTGAGACGAGGAGTAGTAGGAAGTAATTAGGCTGTGGAGGCGCCATCATTATAAATGGATTGATGCTGTCATTCTGAAGTGGGTCAGGTTGTTAGGAATGAAACAGAACTGTAAAAAGAAGGGATAGCCCAGCTCTTTTCTTATCTCTTTTTTCTTTGCTCACACTGTGTCTCTTCTGCCCAACACCACCTCACTTTCTGCTTCTCTGCCATGTTATGAATTAATATGTTATGAATTAACCCCCCCAGGGGGATTTTCATCAGAACATTGGCATCATGTGTTTGGACCTCCAGTCACCAGAATCATGACCCAAATAAACCTCTTTTCTTTATATCTATAAACCAGTGTGAGGTATTCTCTTGCAACAACACAAAATGGACTAAGATAGCATTCTAGCTATGCAAATATTACTACTCTTTACTTTTCTCCATTCTTTCTAGAACTTTTTTTTGGGTACCTGGGATCAAACTTGGGTTCTTGAGTTTTCGAGGTAGGCAGTGGAACCACTGAGCTAAATCCCTAGCCCTCTTTCCAGAACTTTTAAGGGATGAGTTTATATGTCTGGGAGTAAATATCAATTCTCTTCTTTCTTCTCACAAATACTTTAGCTGTTGTACATTTTAGAATATTTCCTGTCTTATTCTTCCTAATTTATTCTTCAGCTATTTTCTTTCAATTAAGAATCCTTTTATTTGAAACTATTTTCTTTCTTTAATTTCCAAAAATTTTTTATCTCTAGTTGTTCTTTCTCTCCTTCTCACTG